TTTTAAAATTTTTTTTTTTATACCTAATGTTTTTAGTATAATATTTATCAAATTTTAATTATTTTAGAACACCTTACCTATTATACAGAAAAACCATGAATTTTTATAGGTACTTCACATAGTTTGTTTTAAGAAATTATGGGTCGACATTTTTACAGTCGGCATAAATTATATTTCAGTTGGCAAATACTTGATCTCACCCCCTCCCCTTCAAAATCTTATAACGCCGGTCCTGTTAATACCTACATACTTTTAAAGTGCTCGTAATATTATAACACGCTTTAAAATAATTAAAGTCTAAGCGAGGCCCTAGATAATAATATTATATTCATACCTTTATATTTGATTATAGTTCATTTTTAATATTAAAAATAACCAAGTAAAATGTATTATTCCAAAAAAAAAAAAAAAAATTGAGATGTTGTTTGTAAAACAGAGACCCTGTCACACGCGGATATCACTTAATATTGTTATTTCGTTTTTATTTATTTTTAGAAATGACAATGAGTTTAGAATAAATTGAAAAATATAATTTTTCACACGGGACAGATGGGGCGGATTAGACCTGCACGTCGTCAGTATATTATATCGTGGTATACCCTTGGCCATCAAATTGTTCATGAACAAGATGGGATGGAAACTTAGGAAAACACGAAATTCTTCAGCGATAAAAATGTTCCCAAAGAATAAACTAATTATTAAAAATAGTGAAAAATACAAATATATAAGTATTTTCATACAACTTATTATATAATATATTAATATTATGGTTATATTAAAATTTGGAAGATATAGTTCTGCAATATTACACCACACCCTCCATAGGAAATGTCTGGGAACGCCTACGCCATTGGTATTTGAGTTCACCATATTTGTGCGAGTGTAATATATTATTAATATACTGTGGTCGGCCGGGGCTAACGATTGAATAGTTTCTTATGAAAATATTTAATCTACTTTGTGAACATAGCACTCGTGGTACATTTTATTTCTAATTGTTTTTCTACGAGAAAAAACACCGTTTAACAGAATGTCATCCACGTAATATTTGTTTTCTCTCTCAGGCTATCACTCCACATAGATAATACGCATTCGTGTAATATTGTTTTTAACGGTTTTCGAGTCATCTTGGAGTAAAATGACCAGCTAAAATGTATAAAAAATTAAACTAGTTTTTATAGTTTATTATTATTTGACTATAAATTATTGGACTTGGATAAAAAATGTATAATAAATTTCAATGAACATGTTTCAATTGTTTTGAGACACAATGTAGACAAATCGAGGTGCATTTCCCTGGCACCCCCACTTCCGAATTTTGGATTCAAACCAAGGGCTTTCGTTTGTGCTACGTTTGTGCTGGATTGTGCTCGAATTTCATCGTTTGTGCTGCAACCCTTAAGGAGTTATAAGCGATAACGATTGGGGGTGCCAGCGAAACGACTGCACCCCCACCTCAGAATTTCGGATTCAAACCAAGGGCTATCGTTTGTGCTACGTTTGTGCTGGATTGTGCTCGAATTTCATCGTTTGTGCTGCAACCCTTAAAGAGTTATAATGGATAATGATTGGGGGTGCCAGCGAAACGACTGCACCCCCACCTCACAATTTTAAAATTTAAATTACACCATTCGTTTGTGCTACGTTTGTGCTGGTTTGTGCTCGAGTTTCATCGTTTGTGCTGCAAACCTTAATGAGCTAGAACGGATCTTTAGTGGGTGTGCCAGTGAAATGGCTGCCCCCCACCTCCAAATTTTCAAATTTAAATTATGCCATTCGTTTGTGCTACGTTTGTGCTGGATTGTGCTCGAGTTTCATCGTTTGTGCTGCAACCCCTAATTAACTACAGGGGATCATTAGTGGGATTTTTTAACTTATTAGGCCAGATTGGACGAATAGGAAATAAGTTAGTGTGGATATGGTTAATGAAGTAAAATCGTATGAGAATTGATAGCCAGTAAGTACCTATATTGTATAGTGTCTACAACTGTCTACATAATGATATATAGGTACCTTATACTATATAGTCACCCATGTAAACTTTTTGTGAATAATATAGGCAGCCTATATTATGTATACGCACAATGATTATTTTTTTATAATTTTCATCGCCAGAAACTGTATCAAAAAAAAATAAAAAAATTTTTAAATAATATTAATTATACTATTAAGTAGGTAATCCAGCCAAATTATTCAACAGACAGTATTGTTAATACAAAGTTAGAATACATTGATGATGATTAAAAATCCAATAATATTAAAAAACAATGAATTGTGAGTTGTAACTTGTATTACAATTTTTGTAAGTTATAACTCAGGTATCAGGGTAAAATAAAAATACATAGATAGCTTCAGACCTGGATACCAGGTATATAGCCTGCATCCCCTTCCTAAGGAAGGCTTATAATTTTTTTATGAGCAAAGAAATAATAACGATGGGACAAAGAGTACAAATAAGCACTAACTTAGTCTAAACCAATCTTTAACCAAGTGTTTTACTACATTTTAAGGTCTATTTTGATTTTTGAGTTGTTTAATCAAGCGTATTACGTATTTCCTTGGTTAACTTTTTTAAAAATGTTTTCGTTTTGGTTTTTGATTTAACAGTTAGGGATACGAATTTTTTCAGTAAAAGTGAAAATGATCCATATACGCCATTAAGTTATTTCTAATAGTTTTGCAAGATAAAAACGTATATTTGAGAATTTTGATTTTCACAATAATTACGATCACGTAAATTTTATAATCAAACTCATGCAAGTAAGTTATTTGAACATAAAAACTACGAGACACCTATGTACAACTTTTGATTACTTTTACCAACCAACCTCAAGCAATTTCCGATAAAACTCTGTGGGTTGTAGTCCACCTGTCCTCGTTTTAGGATTCCAGATCATCCCCTTGTAAGAAAGGCTTATACCTAACTTTTTTTACTTGTAAATAATAATAACGATGGGAAAAAGAGTACAAATAAGCACTTACTTAGTCAAAACCAATGGGACTGATTTGGACCAAACAGTTCAATATGGGGGGTGCCGGCACGTCTTTACAACCCCCTAATTAAATTTATAAGGATAACTCCGGAAGTAGTAGAGTACTGCGTCGAAAAAGTGGTACAGGATATCAGTAGCAAACTACTAAAGATTGGCTCATTTGGAGATCCAATATTTTGAATCAGGGCTGCATTATGGCTCCATACCACCCCCTCCCACTAATGATCCCCTGTAGTTAATTAGGGGTTGCAGCACAAACGATGAAACTCGAGCACAATCCAGCACAAACGTAGCACAAACGAATGGCATAATTTAAATTTGAAAATTTGGAGGTGGGGGTGCAGCCATTTCGCTGGCACCCCCACTAAAGATCCGTTCTAGCTCATTAAGTTTTGCAGCACAAACGATGAAACTCGAGCACAAACCAGCACAAACGTAGCACAAACGAATGGTGTAAATTAAATTTTAAAATTGTGAGGTGGGGGTGCAGTCGTTTCGCTGGCACCCCCAATCATTATCCCTTATAACTCTTTAAGGGTTGCAGCACAAACGATGAAATTCGAGCACAATCCAGCACAAACGTAGCACAAACGATAGCCCTTGGTTTTAATCCGAAATTCTGAGGTGGGGGTGCAGTCGTTTCGCTGGCACCCCCAATCGTTATCGCTTATAACTCCTTAAGGGTTGCAGCACAAACGATGAAATTCGAGCACAATCCAGCACAAACGTAGCACAAACGAAAGCCCTTGGTTTGAATCCAAAATTCGGAAGTGGGGGTGCCAGGGAAATGCACCTGACAAATCGCATACCGTCAAAAATATTACTCTCCATAATAATTATTGTAATGGATGATTTTCCTCTGAGATTACTCGAAAACGTAAAAAAAAATGAATTCATTTTGCCCGAATGCGTCTGTGTTGCGAGTGGACAAGACAGAGAGAGGAGAAACTAACAGTGCGTTGACGTCATCCTCTTATTATAACATCTCCGTCGTTTCCACATACCGCAGTATATTATTATTCTTATTATTATAATTTTATCATATATTATAATATACTTACTCAATGCTCATGCATGCATTTCGCCCAGTTTTTTGGGCGAGCGCGTGTGCCTCGTTGACAGAAAATACCGACCATAAAAGAGAGATTATCATAATAATAATAATATTATTATTATTATGTAAACGCTTGTCTGGAAATGTTCACTCGCTCGGTCGTGTGCGCACGTATTGTAAAACTGAATTCGCCGCCGCCGCCGCCGCCGCCTTTGACAACGGTAGTATTAATCTGCGGTTCGCCACAATTATTTTTGTTCTGCTAACGTCAGTCTGCCGGAGGTTTTAATTAATTAAATTAAAATCCTTTAATCTTTTACGTCGTTGCGTCGAGTGTAGTACGCTCACCTAGGAAGGTACGTAAATCGCACGAACACCACCGCGGCATGCCGCTGTGTTTACCAGGTATATACCAACGTTCGCGCGTTATAGATAAACACTCGCGAGTGTTCGTTAAAACACTGGTTGCGGTATACTATTATGACCGACGATTACCGCTCGACAACGGTCTTACAGAGACGCTGTGCAAACGAGTGTGTCGATATCGCAACCAGTACCTACAACACAGATTTCGACTTTATTTTTTGATATGATATTATAATAATATAAAGCATCTGTGATCCGTCGGGTATACGAGTGATGTAGTTATACTATTGATCTATTGTGGGCGTGTTTGATAATTAGCAATCAGTCTGTGTAAAAAAAAACCCTATCAAGAACGGTCGATCACGTCATATTCTTATTATAATTCATTGTAGTATATTTTAAAAACCAATGACAATAGGATTTAATAATTAGTATTATAATACTCGCACAACAGGTGGACGGCCCATGATTTAGCGTTCATAATTTCAGATGATGAGTTCCAACCACCACAGTGCTCGCTGTGCGATTATGATGGACACAATTATTGTTGTGATATGTGAAATGTTTTTAAAGTGCTCATCTCGACGTCACGCGATCGCCTTGTACCCGTACCGGTCGTAATGGGCCTGATATTCGCTCCAGCCGTTCATCTTGAAATTTCTCATCTCAGCCTCCTTGCTCCGGTCCAACGCTGGTTTTATCGCGGTCGAACCGATGACCGGGTAATGGGAATCGTATGGGTTGGTGTACGACCGCTGCTGGACTGTCGACAGGTTTTCCATTAGGGCGAGCACGCGGTTCCGTTCCGCACGCGATACGTCTAATTGCTTTGTGTTTTCCAACTTGAACGTGCAATACCTGGATACAGTGCAGTTATACAGGGTGATTACGTAGTATCAACAGTATTATTATGGATATCATCAGACAGCGGTGGTGCTTTGTAAAAACCCTTCGACTGCATATTTGGTTTGAAGACACAAAATTACCAGTATAAAAGTGAATCAAATTAGTACCTTAGAATCACATTGTACAGCTGTGTGAATCATTACAAATAATGAAACAAATACAAGAAATAATTACGCCTATGTTAATCAACGAAACAATATTAAACTTTTTGTTGATGAGAGCATTTTTATTTTAAATTCAAAACAATATAGTATCGAGTATCTGTTTGGAAATATTATACATTTATCCAATACCCAGATATTTTTATAAAAATAACATTCCGATAAATTGCACGGTATATGATAAACTACGATCACTATTAATATCAGTGTTGAGCGAATTGTACTATTAGGACATGTTAGATAAATTTATTTAACTATAATATAATACCTAGTAATATTTTGAATATCTTGTCCATACCTTGTATAATTCAGGTAGATAGGTCATATAATATAATATAGGTATGACTAATTTATGCATACCACTCATCACTCCTTCGATTGCAACATAATAATATTATATTATTGTAATTGTGCACTATTCATTAGTCGACGAGCAGGATTTGATATATTTTTTTTATAATAACTCTTTGGCTTGAATGTTTATCATCAATAAAACGCACGGTGATATGGCTTTCGGCTGGAAATCGTCTGTTAACAAACGTCTACCACCGACTATATTTTCTCAAGCACCGTAAGCCCACGGCAGTCGATACAAGGGTCAGGACACCGCGTGCCCACCTATAACGTTAGGAAATCGCGGAAGTGTCAAGGACGAGGGAAAACAGCCACGGGCCAGGACTCGCTTGACCACACAGGACGAGTCGTATGTTGTTTGTTTTCTTTTGACGTAATTCGGTCCCCTCAAATAATAAGTCACGTGTGACTTATTACTGTGGATAGGACATAATATACACACTTTGTTACATGTGTTTATAATATATAATTTATTTTAATTTCATTCGTGATTTCTGTCTTATAGTATGCCAATAATTAGCTTGTGTAACATAACAATTATTAAATAGAGAGAGAGAGAGACTTAGTATCTGATTTATTTAATCGATAGTATTATTGTGTCATCTCCATCAACACCTTCTACCGAGACCTCCTCGTACAAGACGGAGCGCGGCACGAGTCTACGAGGACCGTTACAACTCCCTGCATCTCTATATAGTGGCTGGAAAAAAAAGTGATATATTATTGAATTTCTTGAAACGCACATGTTTCTAAGGTCATCTGTTGTGGAGGGGCACGTGAATAACTATAAATAAATATTCGATTCGAATCTTCACAGAACACAATATTATATTAAACCGTTAAAAACCTAGAGACAAAAAAAAAATATATGTTCAAGATTTTAATAGTACGATTGTCAGAATTTTAGTAACAAAAACAAATACAGCACTTATAATTGGACATATTATTTTATAGGTTATTTATATAAGTACGTTATTATTTATATAGACTTTTTATGTTTTTTTTTTTTACCTTAAAATTGAACGTCCGGGACCCGTATATTATTTTTCTTGATTGCGAGGACGTAGTCATAGATACCTTGAACGAAATGAAGTGCTGGCGAAGAGAACTCACATAAAATTTCTGTCTAGCTCAATATATTTTATACAATCAAACCACGTTTTCCAGAAAATATTATGTTCCAGAGAGTATTCTTTTTTTTACTTTGCACTAAAGGATTTTATACTCAAACGTTCTCGGCTCTAAACGATTTCACATCTAATAATAATCGTTCGGTCACTTCTGTACAATAGGCACCTACATTGCGATTTTCGACGTAATTATATACCTACCTATTATATAACACCTTATAATAACATATGCTCGGAGTTTTGTATACCTTTACCTACCAAGGCGATAATTGAAGTGCACATTGCTCGGATAAACTGCATGAAAATAGTGCTGAAGCCGAGAACTGAGTTGATCAACCTGTGTAGCCATAACTAATGATGATGCTCCGATAACGATAATAATACGTCCTAATATTAATATACTTATTATTGTATGATATAACAATGTTTAAAGACTCCGTGACATTAAAAAAAAAAAACATAAACAAAAACAAAAACAAACTTTATGCGTTCTACACGGGAACGGTTTTGCGGACGACGACGACGACGCTACGCTCGGGAATAACATGAGGGGACGAAAACTTAGGTGTTTCAAACGAATGTTTGCCATTAAGAGTTGGCGGCGAATCACATAAATCACTGTCTCATTTAATAAGCATTTATTATATCACCTTATTCCGAGGTCGGCCCTAACAAACGTTGTCAAAGTTAATCGCGATATTTATACCGTCGTATTATTATTATTATTATTACCACTGCTACTTGTGTTACTACTACAACTACAGCTGTTTATATAGGACTCGTCGAGTTTAATCATTTCTCGGGGACGGCATCGTCGTCGTCCTCCTCCTCCTCCTATTCCTGAGGAACACATGACGACTACGGTTATTTTATAAACGTACCTACGTATATATTATTATTATTTTGTTATTATTGTATGATATTATTATTATGATATCGTGCCGCCGCAGTCGGTACCTGCCTATATTATTATGTACGGGACCTGGCATTGGCATCGCCCCCCCCCCTCTTGCAGTGGCGTTCGAGTGATTACGCACGGCGTAGTGTGTAAAACACTAAGGGATTTTAATTAAATTGATGAAAACCACAGACGACCCGACTGCTGTCGGGCCGACCGGTAAAACAACAATGTGAAAGGCACCGCAAGATAGGTGTACGCGATACGACGACAGAGAGCGACGACGACGGCGACGATGATGACGACGGTGACGAGTTCGTTATAATATAATGTCGGTATGGTGGCAGAGAGTGCTGTATCGCGATGATAATAATAATATATACTCGTCAGTGTACACGCCTTTGAAATATATTTTTATACGTCGGTTTGATAACGAGAATATCGAATAATGAACTACGACATAGAGTATATTATTATTATTACGCACAACGAAAATAAATTATTGTTATACAACAAGCCTATCTACGCATATAATGGTTCCGTGGAACTCGAAACTAGAAAGTAGAAACACTATACTGTATTAATTATAATACCGCAGAAGGTACCTACCCATATTTTAAATTTTAATAAAATAATGACATCGGTATTGAGTAGTATTATTATTGAGTGTAAGGCGCTGACAGGGTTTTGACGTTCCATGCACGATAATGTTTTTGTATATTATATGACATCTCTGTGGTGGTGAATTCAAAATATGTGACAGTTAATAGGTTATTATGGGCTGCGAGTTGATGACCAACGAGTGTACTTAAAAAATATAACACATTACATCTGAGATATGTTTCACACCCGCTGATTATGACTATTTTAGTGTGTCACCTACAAATTATTACAATATATTTTAACCTAACGTTTGACTCGATTGACGTTAAAATGTATAAAGTTTACCTGAATACCTTATCTGTTGGGTATTTCGAATGTAAAAAATATATATTATGTGTTATACAGGGATAAAAGTAGATTATTAACACTATAATATAATACTCATAGGCAGTTAGTTCCAACTTCCACTGTATAAATATGCTATAACGAAAGAACAACTATCACCTTTTAGAGAAATCATGTTCTCGTGTCGTTGGTCAATGAAATAATAACTGCTTGCATAGTGAGTTTAAATAACAGTTAAAAATCTATAGTAAAAAAAGGATTTATATTCAGGGCGATATAAGTGAAATAACATATATGAAGTGTTGTACAATTTGACGGTGTGAAACCTGTTCATCCGGAAAAAAAACTTTTTATTTCCACTCATAATAATTTTCAAATTATTCAACTTTGGAATAAATTCTTAAAATATATTTTTACTTGTGTCGAGGTTAAACAACGCCAACAGACATTCCCTTACTGCAGGTCAATCGTCTAAGTGGTCCAACACTTTAATATTGAAGACTGCAGGTATACCTAAATCTGTGTTCACCAAAATACTACACACTTTTCTAATCGTACTCCTACAACTGTTTAAGTGAACGTGTTCTCAAATAGATGAAAAATATAAATAAAAAGTCACCATATTATACTCAATAGGATCGGATCGCTCATGATTGAATCTCATAAAAATAAATTAAATTAAATTAAAAACTACGAAAAGCTATGGTATAGAACAAGGGGGTTGTTGTTGGAGAAAATATGATGTTCTCGGGGAAAAAAAAAAAATTAATAGTTGAACGACTTGATCGCGTTACAACACTAATGCCAATAATCCAAAATTAAATTGTATCCGATAAAACTTAATTTATCAGACGAGTGGAAACCGCATACAACTCTCCAATCTCACTGGGATATAATCATAAAATATTGAAAACCATTCTGAAAATTGTATTAACCCAAACACAAACTCAAATACACATACGATTGGAGCGGTCTGGTAAGACTTAAAAAAAAAATTAATGTCCAATGCATGATACTCCTACAAGATTACCTGATTTAAATATGGTACGAACCAAATATTAATAAACATATTAAATAAAAAAATAATTTAAAAGAGATATAAACATGTCTATTGTACTAGTGTAGTTTGCCTTAATTGTACATCGATGTCAAACTTATAATAAATTCTACCAATATAACAACATTAAAGAATAAAAATAATTGAATAATTAATATTTTAAGTTTAAAAAAATACAATATTTAATATAACATAATAATTAATATTTAAAGAATACAATTAAAATGTATTGTTATCTTATATTCATTATGTCTACCTCCTACTTCTAAGTGATAACGAAGGACTTGGTAAGTCACCATGGATTTGTAAATGACACTTTAAATAAGCTTAAATGAATGCCTTATATATTGCTATCCGTATCGCGAAATTTTTGCAATGAAGTTGAGACAGAATTAAAATGTAAACATGTATTACAGTTCAGGGATATGTGAAAGATATGAGATATCTAACTTATAACTGTAATATTCGCAACAATATATAGATACACCCGAGCACTTCAATCAGATGACATAATAATTGTATGATGTAAATATCTCCAAACAATAATAAAATAATATAATTAAGAAACTAATTCCGCAGATTCCACGCAATCTACCCCCCCCCCCCCCTCAACACACGTAAATATAAATACACTCAGTTTAGTCAAGTATACTCAAACCATTTCAACCATGGTCCACTGATCATAGATTTCGGTGTTTCCCGATAAGGTCCATAAACCGAATCGGTGAACATTTACGACACGACGACCATATTATAATAATAATATTACCTATATGAAAAATCTACGCAACAATCTTATTTTTAATCCGTTCGATATAATTATATCTACACCGATGATAATAATCGACTTATTCGCCCCAATGTCGCGTTAATATTCGAAAGATTTTTCAAATAAATTTACTTTAGCTGGTACTCGGTTAAGGCGACCGGCGTTTCGTAGGGGTTAATGTAACCGTCGGGATGCAAACAGTAGCTCAGTCTATTGATCTGGTCCTGCGGAATCGTATTCCGCACGTTTCCATCTAAAATACAATCTCGTGCGTGGCTATCGTCGTCGGTCATGATGCTGTTTTGATCGTTCGTTGTAGTACTCGTGCAATTTGTTTTCTAAAAAAAAAAAAAAAAATTGTAAAAACAAATTGAATTAAATAAAATAAATAGGTAATCGTTGATGAAGACCGTACTCTTGGAAACGATCGGTTTACAGCATGTGTTTTTATTTATATTTCATCGTAAATTAAACTCAAGCGTTTTATTTTTTTTCCCTTGTAAGCGGATATGCGTATCAGTGTAATATATTCAGACGTTTAAACCTTCGACGAATTTATTATTCCGCCAACATAATTTAATGATATGACTGAATCGTTATTGCTCCCGATAATCGAAAATCACTTTTCCTGATCGTTTCCGAAAGAGTTCAGTTTACTCATGATTCTATCTCCGCGTATTATGTAGGTATTATATACCTATACTATTTAGGTAATACAATATATACTTATATATAAATCATCATATTGTCCATATATTATATTTATTCTGTATATATGTTTCCCTCTAATATGTAGACCCAGCTAGTGTGATATTAATATATTATATTATCATTGGTGAATGCAATACTACAGTCTACAAGACGTATATTATAGAAGTATTCGAAAGGTCGATTATCATAATAATATGTATGTAGTCCACCATAATTGTGAACTTTCAGTATTCATAAATAAATATTGACCATTCCAAACGAATATATGTCGAAGAAACGAAGAATGTTTTCATCAACCGAAATGTTGTCTTCCAAATTTTCAAATATCATTAAACATTTCTGTATAACGATTATAATTACTTCCAGTTTAGCCATAAGAGTATAACCAAACACCCAATAATCATACTAAATATGAATGTATAAATAGGCAAATATTAGTGAACGAAATTACGACACTGTGACCGAAAATCGACATAAGATGACACGATCAAGTCAAACCAGGTTTATACTTTTCAGTAAGTTATTTAAACAAAATTATTATTCTGAAAATATTGTTTTGATAATATTATAAGATCATTGAATTACCAATATTGTATTATACCTGTTAAGAGCTTTAAAATATAGGGTAGGTACCTAGTAAATGCTTATACTCAGTTTATATTACTAATTCAGTATCACAAATTAAATGTACAGAAGTATTTAAATATGTTTATTGTATTTAAATATTATTCAATAAATATGTGTATAGTACTATACGTCTATACGTATAGTATCATATTTAAAATTATAATTCAAGATAATAGAAAATTATAATTGATCGATTTGTTTTAAAATGTTTAGTTAAAATTAATGTTTTTGTGAAACCATAACTGTCTATATAATTATATGCCCATTGTTCGGGCCATCAAAGGGTTGATCGGAAAAAAAGTTCCTAAGAATTTCGTCAAGATCAATAATTATCTCTCTCCCGAAACCGAGGAGTACTGACGGTTTTTATCTGTGACATCTTCCGCAAGACTTGGCAGCTCTGACTTCAGTGGAATACTTCAGGGACGGAGACAAAAGATTGCCCTTTTGGCCTGGTATTAAAATGGTTGTAAAAATGATTTTTTTTTATGAAATATTTTCGCATATCGTCTTTTGTCTCGGCTTTAGCTGTTTCAAAGCACACCAAAACGCTCAGAACACGATTATGACGTTAGTACACTTAAAACGAAATCTTTGACAGCGTGTTCGCGTGCATTTGGTACATGGCTATAAATTATAATATATTATGTATAAGCCGTCGAACTTGTGTTTGATTTTATGGAATCAAATTATCACTCATCGTACTCATTAATACTCAGTGAAATATTAAAACACTAATGTTTTCACGGATGGCGGGCACATTCAGCTGTGCAGTGATGCTGTCCCGGTTTCAGCTTTTGATACCACTTACTTATTATGTCAACCCGTTCGCTGAAGTAATTTAATACCTTAGTAATTTCATAACGTTATTAATTCTGGATAAAAAATAATATGAACCATAAATATAATGATATATAATATTTAAAAAACTATATTTTTTTGCCTATAATACTTTTTAAATGCAACTATAATGACGGTATACTATGAAGAAATTCTATGCATCTCAATTTGGAAAAGGAGATTTCTGTACAGCTTTTCAAACATTTCTTTTTCTATAACGGGGTTCTTATATTCAGCATAATCGTTCACGGATGGTTTGCCTAGACACCACCCAATATAAATTTGAATACTAAATCCATAACAGTGTACACTTTACAAAACATCCTAAATCACTAGATAATAATTTTGCCCGTATAGTGGAGATTCATGTAAAAAAATTTGTATTTAAGATAAAAATGGGCATGTCTAGATAAATTCACCTGTCGTGCAATCATTTGTATGTAATTGTTAGGTATTTAGAAAATAAGATATATTTTAAAACTTACATATTTTATTCATATTTAACGATACATAGAATTTGATCATAAAAAATGAATTATTTTTGTAATATGCTTGTCTTTTATTTTATAATTAGGTTTACCGACTTAAATAGTACATCAACTATAAAAACTTTCGATTATCAAATAAATATAGCTTAAAACTGTAGGTCAATAAAAATAGTTACAATTATAATTATTAATAAGAAACACCTATAAGTTAATATTAAAGAAGATAATATAATGCATTAGGGGTATATATTGGACCGGTTCTATAGTTATGCTACCAAATTATAATAATTTTCATTAATTCTGTAGGACATAATATCTGCTGGCAATTTCAGAATAAAGTCATGAGGTGTTGTTAAAATTAAAGTTAGTTGATTCTGTCCCATTTTAGTCTGTAGAAATACAATCATAGACTCAATTAAATTAATATTTTTGTCATGGTATGAATTTCATTTCAACAATTGATTTTTTCATACATAAAATATAGGCACAACAAATATAGGTAATCAATACAGTGTTTTTCCCCATTTGTTTTTGGATATCGCTGTTGATTGCTCACACATTTTGAACGGATGAATAATTCAATATAATATTATAGATTTATATTTTTTATAAATACTAGGTTTATTTAACTAGACTCCTCCTCCGTAACACACGCTTACAAATATAATAAAGTGTATTGGCATTTGGAAGAAAAACTCACAAATCACAATATGCAATATATACATGAATTTGGTGTATAGATTTTACAATCTACTCTCTATGGTATCTTGAGCCTCACGACGTTTGGTAGTGGTTTACGAGGTATAAATAAAATATTTCTTATGACCGACCATGTAACGAAGTTTTTTCGATTTTTGTTTCCATATTATATATTTATTTTTTATTTACATAACCGATGGTTTCACCCCTTAAACGTGCTACACTTGCGTGACGTGAGCAGTGCAGAGAAAATTATTAATTTACGAGTAAAATATATAATTTTCGGCAATATTGTTTTCCAATCACGAAGTAGTATTCCATAGGGCGAGAGTGATTTTTGACCTCTATCACTTCAAAATCATTACAATGTATAAGTAGGTATAATATACATATAATCAAAAATAAATAAAGCCAATGCTACAGGGATAAATTATTATTCTCTATCATTGATCTTGTATGAGTAAGATACTATTATATAATATAATACCTAGATACGTAATAATCCTGATCGCATTAGTGTTACCCCTAACGAAACAAGCGTGATTTTTGAAACATGATGATTATATTTTTCTGTCACGTATAAAATTGAACGAATACGAAATCTCTCCCCAGATCGGGCCCCGCGAGTCCGAAATAGTTTCTCTCGTGAGAGTCAGAGATCGAAGTCTGAGATTTTATTTCCCGTATTAGATTATGCTTCTTATTTTTTTTATATATTCTCATATATAGTCTTTGCGTTTAACAATAGTAAACTTTTAGATAGGAATCACAGTATAATAGGTGTAAGGGATTTAAGTTCACAATAGGATTTTATTTTCATACGTTTCTATGTCGTTATTATAGTCAACGAGAGCCTATACATGTAAAACACGCCATTATATACCTACGTACGACCTATATAATATAATATATATGGTTACAAAAACTCTATATTATATATACAATATATATAATATATATAATATATATACATATATTATGCTTGTGTATATGATGTATATAATATATATTATATTACATAGTTATAAACCGTATCGAAAATCGATACGTACCTACCTACAACATCATAAACGCCGCCGTATAGGTATTTTATTCTTTACTCGCGTGAAAACGTAACAATAGACTTAAATCGTCGTCGAAACTTCAAAGTGTTCACGCTTTGACGTGTGAATAAGACGTCTAGAAGGGGAGGAAATGTATCGAAGTATCCGAGGTAAAAAAAAAATTGTCATTTCCGGTTATTTACCAGGTGTATGACGTAAAATAACAATATATTATATAATAATATACATTACCAGCTTTACAGTAGTCCCGCGTGGTGAACGTCGATTTGAAATTAATAGGAACTAAACTGGGGAGGGGGGGCGCAATAATGTCGCAATCAGATCACCATGGCTTCGTCAATTAAGGTAAAGCTCTATACTACAAAAACTACTACACTACACCATAATATTGGCTTTAGAAAACACTACCTACTGACTTCAGTACGTGTTTACTCGGTTAAATTCCAGAGATGGCCCACCACATATTATATTCTTGTGTTGGACGATTAATTTCCGTCTTTCGAAAATATTATTTTATTGGTCTCGTTTCAAGGGAGCCGGATTTTTGTAGGTTCTTTTTTTTACACTGTTTAAATTTAGATATACACATTTACATAATAATACACAATTTAAGCCACCCTCCTCCTATGTATGTCATCAAAAAAAAGGTAGAGTTAATAACAATATAATTATTATATCCTTTCGTCTTCATAGTATTTTGCAATAATTTTATTCTCGAGAGTCCATATTATTACATTGAATGCTGTCGTATCGTGCATAATATATAAAAATAATACAGTTAAAACTATTAACTAGGTTAAGTAAACAGTCATACTATGTAACAGGTAAAATACCAATACAAATTAAGTATGCAATATTCAATAA